TTACAATTCATAATTTTATATTGTTAAATAAATAATAAAAAATGTGATATTTTTGTATAATTACAAATATCATTTATCACTATCACTATTGTATTTATTGTCCATAGTCAATATGAATAAAATATTAAATTTAATATTAAATTCAATAGTTAACTTGTCAAAATAAAAGCTCTACGAAAAGTTATTATGTACTTATACTGAAATAAACTGATCCTAATTCGATATCAAATATATTTACAAATAAAAAGAGTAGTACTTGATTGAGTGATCACATGCTTTTTGTCTCTTTCTAAAATTAAATTACCTATGTAATTCTACAACATTGTTAGAAGAAGATTAACAAAAAGGCACAAATTGAAAAAAAAAAGAAAAGAAAAGAGAAGAAAAGAAAAGTGAATTTAAACTCTATTTATTATAGTTGTAATTTTTAATTTTTATAAATTATGTAATTATTAAAAATTAAAATAAAAAATAAAAAATAATAATTTATTTAAAATAAATTTTAACACAAATGAAAAAAAAAATTTATTTAATAATATTAAAATTATTTTTTTCTTATTTATTTAATAATTATGATAATATGTTATAAAAATATATAAAAATAATTTTTTTATTTAAAATTGTTAAATTTATAAAAATTAAAATTTATAACCATCCTAATCAAAGCCTACTAATTATTATTTGTCTTTTTTTTTTTTGCTGGGTGCATTATATAATAAGTTATAAAACATAGAACAACCCTTTGCTTCTCAAACCCTCTCAATCATTTTAAAATTAAAATTTAAAATTTCTAATATGCTAACTCAATTTTTATAAGGGGAAATAACTTTTAGATAATTTTTTTGCATCACCTTTTGATATAACCAACATATCATTTAAATGATTAATTTTTTTTATTTATATGAAATTCGTGATATTAAATACATTCATTCATTTAATAACATATAAAAATTGTATGAAAATATGATATAAAAAAATTATTCCTCTAACACCACCATTTCTGTAAGGTAATTTAAAAGCTTTTACACCAACACATATTAAAAGTACAATTAATATAGCTCTTAATAGCATTAAATTGTATTAAGTTGCACTCACTCTCCCTTATAATAATAAACACTTTTTAATTTTATTTTCATATTAAAGATTTATAGACAATGTTTATCTTTGTTTATATTATCTTTAAAAAAATAAAATAAAAATAATAAAACTTAAATCGCAATGGGATATATAATTAATTGTAAGATTTAATGATAAGATAAAAATAAAAAAATGTCTCTCTTCAAATATGAAAAAAGACCATTATTTTAAACAAATTCTAAATAAAAAAATATATAAAGAAATACAACAGATTATCTTAATTTGACTAGCAATTATTTTAATTAAAGATATATATATATATATATAAAGAAATACAACAGATTATCTTAATTTGACTAGCAATTATTTTAATTAAAGATTAAATAAAGATCCAACTTAATTTTTTTAATGTAAAATTAATGGTAAAAAAGGTACACCAACTATAATCTTACTCTTATCTTACTCTTAACCTGCGCCCTGTCAATAGCACTCCCTACCCCTTTGCCTTTGGGATGACTTAGAAGAATTCCACTCAGTGAAAAAAAAAAAGGATCATTCAACACCATCAGTATTCAAAAAGCTAGCAAAATATAGCCTCTTACGTTTCAACAGAATAAAAATACAAACTAACACCATTCCATTAACCTAAATTTATCAGACATGTCCATATCATAGCAATAACCTTTCTGAAATGGAACAAAATCGACCTAAAAGGCTGCGCTAATCAGTCACCCTCCATACCATTTCAAACCACAATAAAGAAAAGTGCTGGGACTCAGACAACATTACTTAGCATGGGAAATGCGTTATGAGCTGGACTTTCAAAGATGTTTGAGTCTTCATGATTGATGAGATACTACAGGATCCTGGGGTTTTCTAATTTGAAGAGGGGGATAGCTGCTTTAATTTTGCCTGTAACACTATTGCAGCTTCATCTGCTATACTTTTCTTCTTAGATGCTACCTGTATAATCAAATAACAGTTTCTCTATTAGAAAAACAACAAAATGGCTGTATTAAAAAACTTATAAATGCACCAAATTAAGTGGAGTCAATTGACGAAAGTGTGGAGGAAATCCATCTTAGCTTGATATTTTAGTTATGATAAATTTCAGTTATCCTTTAGAACAACATGACTGTTAACCAAATACCATTGCCCCATAGACCAAACAGTGATAACTTTGAGAAAAATATAAAAAAGGCTTTTTGGTTTTAAAGAAAAAAAAAAGGAAAAAATTCCACCATGCCTGCATCATTAAATACTAAATGCAGATTGCAAAGTCCAGGAATGGTACTATCTAAACACTCATGAATACATTAACTGATCTTCTAGGGTGAAAAAATTATTAAAACCAAATGAATCACCATTACAAATAACCTTCCATCACCCAGAATGGATTCCCAACCAGTAATAAAGAAGAAACCAAGATATCCCCATTAATTATTTAATAAGAGCGGAGTACAAAAATAACAACTCAAAACATGACAGTTCTCTTGCAACAGACATTACAAGTAACAGTCAACCAAACATATAAGTCAGGGCTGCACAATAGTTCCTCATAAATTCAATTTGATCTAAAGGGCAAGATATGGGATATTAGAGACTTGCCTTCCTTTATAATATTACAAAAGTAGGAATCCACTTACACACAAGTCTTACACATCACACTTACACAAAATCTCAACCATTCATCTCTCCACTTTTAATGGTTGAGATTTATTCATATTTATTAAAGATAATTATTTTTTCATCTAAAGAGTCATGATAAATTTTAACCATTGAAAGTGTAGAGATGAATGGTTGAGATCTTATGTAAGTGTAAGTGTAAGTGTAAGTGTAAGTGTGGTTTGTAAGATTCGTGTATAAGTGGATCCCTCCTCATATTCCAAAACTACAACACTAGATGACTAATTTGCTTTTTAGGGCCCCAAAATCATGAAAAGGTAAATTCTTTCTGTGGGATTAAAAAAATCCCTTCACCCCCTCCCCTCCTTCCTCTTTCCTCTTGCATTTCAAGAAATGGAATACCGTTTTTCGTTTAAAAAATAAAAGGGCAGAAAACCTATCTGGAATGTGAGCATGTGGTTTAGCAACGTTTACCCATTACTAACTAATATTGTCATTGACATATAATGACATCTCACATCCAACCTATGGTAGATGATAATTTAGGTCAAAACATGCAAGCTCTAGACCATCATTCAGGATCTGCTGAACAGGTGAAAGGCTTGGAAATCATCTGCATCCCAAAACCAGCTTCTCTCACACTTTTTTTTAGGATAATAATTTCTTAAAGCACAAAAGTGAGCAGTCTGGGTACCTGAGACAGTTCTAATTAGGTTCTCAAGTTGAAAAAAAGGGCCTTTTTCAAGTCCAAGAGAACCTCCTAATCATCCAGAATTCCAAGCACCAACTTCTCACTATTTTTCTAAAAGAGAGTTGAGAAACCCAAGTACATAATAAAATTCTAAATTATGTTTTAAAGTTCAAAAAAGACCAAGCAAAATGGTTAATGCATATCATCTCTCATTTTGCCTGTTCAAATACTCATTACATTATGGGACAAAATGATTATTAAATCAAAAATTTCAGAAATCTTAATGAAAGCCCATTTAGAGACTAATTCTAAGGACCACTAATCAAAACAACTTATATAAAAGCAAGAAGACAACTGAAATTTACAAGCTAGTAAATCTAAGTCGTAAATAGAAGTGAAGTGATACTAAGAGCTTAAGTAGCCCATGGTTGATCATGTCAAACAGCATTCTGACATATAAGTTTAGAAAGTCAGGCACAATTCTGTCATAGATTTCAGGAGTAGGATTCTCAACATATGCAATTATTAGATGCATAACTATATGCATGTTTAACATAAAAAAAGCACAAATATGCTTCTTTACCCAAACAAGCGCCTCTATGCATGGTCTGTAGAACTTAATGTTGCTTAACAAGTTTAAAAGAGAAAAAATAGAAAATAGAACAGCAGCAAATTTATTTATAACTTATGAATTATGGATTAGGAAGTGTAAGTGCTATAACCCCAGTAAAAAGTTTGAAATCAACAAGGGGAAGGGAAGAATTTTTGTTTTATTGGATTGGCAGGGGATTGAAAAATAGAAGCAAGACCCTAAAGCACAACTCTTTGGAGATAAAAAGGTACGAGTATGAAAGAATACAAAAATCCTAGCATCATACAAGATACCTATGTATCAAATTCAATAGAAAAAGAATAGCAAATCCAAAATAGATTGCCATCAGACCATAAAAGCACCAAAAGTAGCTCAATGTCATCAGTTCATCTACTACTCAAGTAGATGGTCAAAAGATCCAAAAGATGTTATGGTAGCAATGTCAAAAAGACAAGCCACTTTCACAAAGGGTGTGCATATTGTAAACACACATAAAAGATAAGAGAGGGATCATGCCACCTATCAAAGACTCTTTCTCTTACAGCCTTCCTAGAGCTTGGTTTCTATCTGTTTTTGGGTGTGGGGCAGTTAAGGATTCAAACTGGTTCATTTCCTTTTCACTGCATCAATTATGCTTCATATCCAACAATCAAATGAAAATCAATCATGCTTCAAAACAAACTGTTAACTGACTCTGCAACTCTTATATATGCATATAGGCACAAACAATCTACCACAATCAATATTGAACCCATACCTCGATAAGTTGGTCAAAATTCGATTTGAGCAAATTGATCTTCCGTTCACAATAATCTTTTCCTTCAGCCATTGTTTTCTACAAAGAACACAAAATAAGCAATAAAACCAAATTAGGTCGTCGAACAACAATATCAACCCATTAAAACAGAACAGAATCAGAGAACAAAATATTTATCTAAAATCGATACCTCAACGAAGTAACCGGTACCGATATCAACGAGCACTTTATCAGCATCATCGAGAGCACCAGGAACATAGAGCGATGCAGTGAGCGGAACCAGTATCTTCTTTCCTATTGAGAAAACAAAGAACAAATCCTAGTATGTGACGAAGTAACTGAATTTCTTAACCGAAAAAAGACTGAGGATTGGAAAAGGTTAAAACCTTGAGGACGGAGGGAGAGATCGTGAAGGGCGGACGATGCAATCTCGAGGCGGCCGGTGGCGGTGCGGATGTTGTTAAGGCTGTCTTGCAACAAATTCACTTCCAAATCCGCCTGTTCCTTCAGTGCTTTCAGCTGTTCCAAGCTCATCTTCTCCATCTCCGGCACCCTGATGGCTGGTCCTCCTTTCGACGACGCCATTGTCAGTTCCTTTGTGGATCTTTCTCCAGAAACCCCAATTTTTTCCTTTTCAACAGGGCCAATCTTCGCTTTTTATTTCTTCCAGTTTAACAAAATAATGTTTTATGAATTTATATTATTTTATTAAAAATATTTTAATAAATTAAAAAAAAAATAATACTTCTAAAATATAATTTAAATTATAGTATGGAAAATCTCATGGAAGACTTTATATACTCACTTAAAAGAGTCTTAAAATGTTCAAAAACACTATATAATAAATATATATAAGGGTTAAAGCCAACTGTAGTCCTCATACTTTGTGAAAATGTTCATTACCATCCCTCTACTAATGAAATGTTCAATGTCATCCCTCTACTTTTCTTACACCATAATTGCCAATTTGCCATCCCTCTACTACTCTTTTTTTGTTAGATGTCATCCTTAATTGAATGCCATCCATTTTACTGTTAACTTTGACTGTTAATTGTCTAACGGTCAAACGTTTAATTTTTATTAATTAATTTTTTATTTATTAACAGAATTTGTTAACTTTTTATTAAAATTAAAAAAATATTTATAAGACCAATTATCAAAAATTAAAAATGTAACAATTTAATTCTAAAAGTTTAAAAAATAAAAAAAATTAATAACTTAAAAATAATTAGTAAATGACTTTATCACATATATGAGAACAATGTTAGATATTTATAGTTAGATCAAGTGATTAACTCAATCTAACTAAAGAAATCTACTTAAGATTAAAGAAAATTTCTTGGCTATATTTTTCTGATCTCTTAAATTTTCTATTTTAATTCAATTTAAAAAATTTTCCTTAATTTCAATCAAAATTCTTTCTCCAAATTAAACTAATTGTTCGATTTAATTATAAATATCAAATATTGTTTTAGTATATGTTTTAGTATATGTGAAAAAGTCATCTATTAATTCTTTTTAATTTACTAATTTTTATAATTTTTGAACTTTTAGAGTTAAATTGTTACATTTTTAATTTTTAAGAATTAATCCTATAACTATTTTATTCCAATTTTAACAGATAATTAACAGATTCTGTTAATTTAGGTGCTAAAGCCAGAAAGAATAATGTAGAACTAAAAAGAAATAAAGAAATTGATCCCACTAGTCTCACTAGGTGGATAAAAAATAAATAGACAAAGGGTTCTTCTAATTTGTGTTTTAAGAGTTATTCTAATTTATGTTTTTAGGGTACCGGTTAAAAGTTAAAAAAAAATAAAAAAAATAAAATTTAATTTATCAACTATCTAATTAAATTTATTTACGTGATAATGACATTAAAATTAATATTTACTTTTATATTTTTTTATACAAATTTATTACAAAAAAGTATCATTAATATGTACTTTTAGAAAAATTCATAAACAAAAGTTGAATATTTTACCATTAGGCAATTAACGGTCAAAGTTAACAGCAAAATGGATGGCATCCAATTAAGGATGACATTGAACAAAAAAGGGATAGTAGAGGGATGACATTTATGGTGTAAGAAAAGTAAAGGGATGGACTTGAACATTTCCTTAGTAGAGGGATGGTAATGAACATTTTTACAAAATACGAGAACTACAATTGACTTTAACCCTATATATAATAACAAAATAAGGGATACTTTTAAAATTAGTAAAATAATTATTTTAAAATCAAGTGATTTCAATATCACATAATAAAAAGAGATTTAAAATAGTTTGATTTATGTTTTAAAAATAATTATTTTAGCCAAAAAAAACTTGATCGAGATTAAGATAAGAAATTTAAAATTTTCAATACTAAATGGTTAGTTTTTTAATATAAAATGTATATATAATATTTTAATTTTTTTAACAAAAATTTATTAAAATAATATAATTTTCAAAATAACTTTTTCATAATTTTTTTAATAATAATAATTGTAATGATAATGATAATGAGATTGATGATTCATGTTTTTACCGAAGTCTATTCAATAAAAACGTGGTTTTAACGTCAAAATCACTAATTATTAATAAAATATGTAAATACAACACTTTGTCCCTAATCTTTAGTATAAATATTAAATATTATCTAAAATTTTCATTTAGATCAAAAA